TGGAACACGGTCGTTTGTGAGTTCAGGGACAGCCTGTTTGACGCTCAGGCCTGGTTTCTAGATAAGGTTGTAACATTGCAGCAGATTGAAACCTTCAACAGTCCAGAAACATGCTGAAAGAGCTCATAAAGCAACTCATTTTTCCTCCCACTGAAACTCAGGAATGTCCTTTGAGGACTTTTGCTGAGCATGTGAATGATTTGGTTTTTAAAAAACCGTAAATCAGGACCTCCATGTGATTCCCGCCCAAGTCCAGCTGATCATGTGCCGACCTTGTCTGGGTGCCTGATTCTCCTCGTGGTGAAGCAAACAGGCCCCGTGTAGGCCGAGCCCCGATCCAAAAAGGGAGGGTAAGGAGAAGTCCTTCCCCCCAACCCCGGGACGGCAAGTACACCTTGGGCCTCCCTCTGACCTCCTTAAAGAGACAGCAGGGGCTCGAGTCCTGGAGTCCCTACGACCCTCTGTGGCCTTGATCTAGTGTGTGCTTCTGCATGCCTGTCTCCTCGCGCCCAGCCACACAGCTCAAGGTCATCCCTTTGCATATTGGGCTTCCACATAAGATCGCACTTGAAAAGACAGCCCACGGCTGACGTATGTAGATGTGTGTGCTGAAACCCACTCCTCGTGGTCTGGAAGAACATTACAGTGGGTTGAATAGTGGTCCCCCAGAAGATACACCCTTGCCTTCACCCCTGCAACTTGTAATGTGACTTTATTTGGAGAAAGCGTTCTTGAGAGATGTAATTAAGAATCTCGAGGGGACACCTGGGTGGCTCAGTCGGTTAAGCAACTGCCTTCGGCTCAGGTCATGATCCCGGGGTCCTGGGATCGAGTTCCGCATCGGGCCCCTTGCTCAGCGGGGAGCCTGCTTCTCCCTCTCCCTCTGTCGCTCCCCCGGCTTGTGTTCTCTTGCTCTCTTTCTCTGACAAATAAATAAAATCTTAAAAAAAAAAAGAATCTTGAGCTGAAATCATCCTGGATTATCTGGGTGGGCCCTAAATCCAGTAACAAGTGTCTTTATAAAAGAAGAGAAGACACAGACTCTGAGAAAAGGAGAGAAAGCCATGAGAAGACCGAAGCAGCGATGTGAGTTATGCAGCCAGCAGCCAAGGAATGCCTGATCCCCAGAAGCTGGAAAAGACTAGGAATGGATTCTGTTCTAGAGCCTTTGGAGGGAGTGTGGCCCTGCGGAACCCGCAATTTCAGACTTCCAGCCTCCAAACCTGAGGTAAGAAACTTCTGCTGCTCTAAGCCACCAAGTGTGTGGTTATTTGTTGCATCCACTGCAGGAAGCTAATAGAACCATCACGAGGACCGGGACACGTTCCATGTAGCTCAGGGTCTGTGTCGTGGTAAAGGAAATATTATAAATCAACTTCTGGGAGTCTATCCTGAAATAAATAAGAAAAGGTGGAAAAATTTAAATATGTTCATCAGAGTGCAGTTTGGGAAAAGTTGGAACCAATCGGAATGTCTCACCAGAGGGGATCAATTAAATAAATTATGGGGCAGCCATTTAGAGAATCCCATGCAACCATTAAAATAACATTACAGAAATGTAGCTACTGATGTGGAAAGATGTTGCCAACTGACTTGTAGAAAAACACATTACGGTATGATCTCATTTAAAAAATACATAAGTCTATATATTATGTATGAATACATAGAAAAATCTAGACTGGAATGTCAACAGTGGTTTTTCTTAAGAGAGTGGGTGTTTTAGGTTCTTTTGCTTCTCTGAGTTGTCTGTAATTAAGATGTAATTTATAATAATAGTGCAAAGTATTTGTAAAAACAACAACAAGAACATCAACAAAAGCAATGAAAGGCATTTATTTCATCCGGAGGAAACAAAAACCGTGAAACTTGTCATCAGCCACACAGTAGGAAATGTTATTTTCCTGTGGAGGATTTAGGAAAATGGGCACGGGAAGGGGTCAATCCAGCACCGGGGGAGCCTTCATTCCTGGGAGGTCAGAATGATGCCGGGCCAGGAGCAAGCTAGGAAGCAGGGGAATGCTAAACTAGACAACTGCAGGACTTGTCAGAACCTTCTACATGCTAACGCCATGGCAAATCTCCAAGAGACCCGTGGGATGACATTTTCCCTCCCACATTATTTGATCACCGAGACAGGAACATCTGATAGTACTCCTTCCCTGAGAAACACAGTGGGGAAAAGTTTGGAACGCTATTTGACAAAAAACAGTTCAACTGAGTGAAGAGCAAACTACCCAGATACGAAAGAAGGAAGAATGTTTCCAGTTTATATATTGCTGAGAAAGACTGGCTGCTCCCCATGAGCCATAAATTGAACACAAGCAGCAATGTCCTAAAACAATATTAAAAGTCTGGCAAATAAGAACCAGGAGCACAGAGCAGATTGGATCCTCCCGGCTCTTTGGGCTCCGCATTTTAGAATGTGAGAGAGGGTCCTGAGAATTCCAGCAATTGTATAAGAGGCAGTCACATTACGTGCGAGGGAGAGCCCAAATGGACACACATCATCGGTGTCCGAGGGTTAGTGTACATAAAAGAAAGCTGCCAGCAAACCTCTTCCTTGTGCTGATGGGAGGGGAGAAAAGCAGCTCCTGCCAGAATGAGGGAGGCAAGTGCTCAGCTCAGCATGGAGGAGGTGCCCTTCCCAGAGTGCCCTTTACAGACTGCTGTCCCCATGTCAGGGGCACTCACCTGGTCTTCTTTTTCCTGCCCACATTGACAAACAGTACTACATTTGACTATTCTTTTCTCTTTCTTTCTCCCTCCAGCCCCCTTCATTCTTTTCTACGCCCCTCAGAATGCTCCCTTAAGAACCCAGAGGCCTGAATTCTATTTGCAGCCCGACCCAGGTTGGCAGGGGGCTGGGAGGGTCGCTCCCCAACCTGCACAGGATGCAGGAGGCCCTGGAGAGAATGGCATGTGAGGGGACAGCCTGCGTCGGGACAACATTCCTGGATTTTCACTTCCTGCCCTGGCCGACCAAACACCCCATGTTCTCTGCGGAGTCCTGGCTGGGGTTGCCTTTCTCCTTCCTGCTGTTCTTTCCTCGGCTAGTTTGTTGCTTTCTCTTGGTACAAGACATTTGGTATGAGGGGCCTCCCCACATGCCTTTGGGAAGCTGCTGTTGAGTTTTTTATGGCTCTTACGTTATGTTCTCTCCCACCCACCCAGAAGCCGATGGCCTTCTGCAGCCCCAGCCCCAGAGCAAAGCTGCTCCCCCTCCCTACCCCTGTCTGCTCGCTCAGCACATGTTAGTGTACAGGAAAATTACGTGGACAGCCTGTTAACCCTGCAGCTTCCCCCCCTCACCCACACACTGATTGGGAGAGTCTAAACTGGGGTGAATCTGCATTAAAAAAAAAAAACAAAACCCAAGTAATTTGCAGTGTAGAACCACCCACAGCAGACTGTCAGGCACTTGCTGGCCCAGCTGGAGCCCTAGAGACCCCCTCATACCTGCTCACATCTAAGTCTGTTTAGTTGATCATCTCAATAGTTTTCAACTGGGTCCTCTTCATGCTGATGCAACTGGGTGGATAAAGCCCACATCCTTAGTTTAGAGTATATAACTAGGATGTCCCTGGAACTGATTATCCAAGTTGGGATACTTTGGTGAGCGAAAGGGACACGGTGAATAATTATGTCAGGAGATAGGCATGCCGCCACCAGCTGGATGTACGCCCTCTCTGTGTGTGAGCTCTCTGTGAGCTGCCCCCTCCTTGCCTCTGACCTCCTCTGAAGACTTCCTGCAGCATCTGAGTGACTTTGGACACCTTTCAAGTGTTAAGCATTTTTTCAAAAGGGCCACCACAACAATAAAGACAAGACCTGGACAAGAGCTATGTGACCCAGTGGCTAATCATAGCGCCTCAGCGGCCTAACTGCCATTATGTCCCCGGCCTGCTACATTCTGGACAAGTTATTTAAGCTCTCTGTGCTTCAGTCTCCGCATCGGTGATGAGAGGGATAAATGACTGTGCCTGGTACATAGTAAGTGCTCAGTAAATATTCCTACCAATGGGGACCCTCATGGCAAGGTCACGATCACGTGGAGACCCGCAGTCTCGTCAGGAGCCTCGGCAGTGTGTAGGCCAACCTCCTATCTGTGTTCAGCTGTTGTAGAGAAACATCTGGAGGTTCAGGGCCAGCTGGAAACAGCTTTAGGTTTGGACAAACACCACTCTCAAGTTCTGTCCCAACCAGAGCAATCTTGGCAATCAGCTTGGGACAAAATAAATAGATATACAGCAGGAAAGACCGGGCATCATGGGGAGACCAACGTAGAGAACACCGAGGACCCTTTTCATTTGAGATCTTCCAAAGATTAAAGGAAGTTGGTTTTAACATTTCTCTTGGGGGCCCCTGATGTTCCCTGCGACTCACAGCCAATCAGCAAGTTACTGATTAGCAGGCTTTGTGCACTATTTTCATACCAAGAACAAGAGTAATTTTGATAGTAGAAGCTCCGTATAGTGGATGAGCAACGTAGGGAGTACTCTGTTTGAGTTGAATTTGCCCAAATACCCCCATTCACTGTTGACTGAATTTCATTTAAATGGGCTCTCTTCAGGGAGTGGAGGGATGGGGTAACTGGGTGATGGACATTGGGGAGGGTATGTGTTGTAATGAGCACTGGATATTATATAAGACTGATGAATCACAGACCTGTACCCCTGAAACAAATAATACATTTAAAAAAATGGACTCTCTTCTGGGGAGGCGCTTTCCAGTTTGTGAGGCACCTTCACCAAGTGCCAAGTGCGGGCTGGTGATCTAAGCAGATGAGCGATCCTGAGCATCTGCCGAGTGTACTTCTCACTTGTAAAAAGCCTTCTGTACAGGAGCTTTGCTTCCCCCAGACTGCTCCCCGACTCTCCTCCTCAGGAGTGGAACGGGCAGTCTTCCAGGGAATGTGCATCAGTCCAGCTCAACTCCTTTTTGGGTAATTTGGGTGCCGCCTCTGCCAGGCCCTTTCCTGGGCACTGCGGGTCCAGCTCTGACAAGGAGGAGGCTCTCCCAGCCCTCTTGTCGCTCCCCGACGGGGCAGGGAAATGTGAGAAGTTAGCAACCACACAGGTGCTGCAGGCCCAGGCCACTGGTCTTCCCAGCTGCGTGGTGCTCTGATGGATGGAGCTGCCTGAGGAAGAGGCTGGTGAGAAAACCATGGAGATCCTGAGCTGGAGGGTGTGGGACCCCGAGTGTGTGTGTGTGTGCATGTGTTCCTGCCCCCGGCTGACACTCACTGTTTACCCTTCGGTCCAGATGTGCCTTCTTGTGGGAGACTTTCCTGCCCATCCAGGTCTGGGTTGGCTGCACTGACTGGTGCCCTCTTGTCCCCTGTGCTTCTGTGGCTCAGGCCTGAGGGCACAGCGCCCTGCCGCTCCCTGCCCACCTGTTGGCCTCTTGAGATCCATGCGCCCGGATGAGTGCCTGCCTTGTTCACCCCTGCATCCCTAGCTCAGCACAGGCCTGGCAGATGACGGTCATTCATCAAATATCAGTTCCATGATGTGAAGAAGGAAAGGAAGAGGGATGGGGAGGGGAAGGGGCAGGAGGAGAGGTTTAGGGGAGGAGGGGGAGGGGCTGAGATGGGGGAGGGCAAGGGGGGAGGAGGAGAAAAGGATGAGGGGGAGGGAAGGCGAGGAGGAGGAGGGAAGTGGTGGGGGGGAGCGGAGGACCGGGAGTCTGTGTTCAGACTTGTTCTCACTCTACGCACCCTGCTTTGGGGATCTCTCCTTCCATGTGACAGTTGCCATCTGTACTGGGATAAATAGTTTTGCCACCAAATTTGTCCCTTCCGGGAACCTCAGAGTGTGACCTTATTTGGAAATAAGGCTGTTGCTGCTATAATTAGTTAAGGGGAGCTCATACTGCAGTAGGGTGGTGTTCTTATAAAAAGGGGAAAAAAGACACAGAGACAGACACAGGGAGAACCCCGTGTGACAGTGGAGGCAGAGACTGAGGTTGTGTGGCTTTAAGCCAAGGACCGCCAGGGATTGCTGACGCCATCAGAGGTGAGAGGAGGCAAGGAGGGATCCTCCCCTAGAGTGTTCAAAGGGAGCATGGACTGTCACACCTTGATTTCAGGCCTTTGGCCTCCAGAAATCAATGTATCAACAGTGCTGGGGTCTCTCTGAAGGTTCTAGGGCAGGATCCTTCTTTGCCTCTTGCCAGCTCTGGTGGTTGCTGGCCATCTTCAGCATTCCATGGCTCGAAGGTGCCTTACTCCAATCTGATCTTTGCCGTCATCATCACATGATGTTCTCCCTGGGTGTCTGTGTCCAAATTTTCCTTTTCTTATAAGGACACCGTCATATTGGATTAGAGACCACCCTAATCCAGCTGGACCTCATCTTTTTTTTTTTTTTTAAGATTTTATTTATTTATTTGACAGAGAGAGAGACACAGCGAGAGAGGGAACACAAGCGGAGGGAGTGGGGGAGGGAGAAGCAGGCTTCCCGCCGAGCAGGGAGCCCGATGCGGGGCTCGATCCCAGGACCCTGGGATCATGACCTGAGCCGAAGGCAGACGCTTAACGACTGAGCCACCCAGGCGCCCCAGCCGGACCTCATCTTAACTCAATTACATCTGCAAAGACCCTATTTCCAAATAAGGTCACGCACGTAGGTTCCAGGTGGACAGGAATTTTTTTGGAGGAAACTATTTAACTCAGTGCAGTGACTTTTGGCTACAAATTCTTCTGTATCTTTTGAATCGTGCATGTTAAATGTATTACTAGCCACTCACTAGGCACCTGATGCCTATTTGATGCATATATCTTGACCTTATTTAATTGCAGAAGATTCAAAATCCCTAAAGCAAAGCACAGCATCAAGAACCAGGTGTTCCGCTCCGATACTGCCTCCCCTTCTCTTTGGGCCATAATTGCAGTAATTTCTAAGGCCTTAAACTCTTAGGGGCGGGATTCCCTCTGTTTCCTGACCAGTGCAACTCCAGCATCTGGCTCTCAGTCAGTGTTTGTTAAAGAATGAATACGTGTATGGGAAGGGATGAATATATTTCTAAGATTTTTTTTTAAGATTTTATTTATTTATTTGACAGAGAGACACAGTGAGAGAGGGAACATAAGCAGGGGGAGTGGGAGACGGAGAAGCAGGCTTCTGGCGGAGCAGGGAGCCCGATGCGGGGCTCCATCTCAGGACCCTGGGATCATGACCTGAGCCGAAGGCAGACGCTTACCAACTGAGCCACCCAGGCGCCCCTATTTTTAAGATTTTAATGCCTTTTGAAAATCATTTTGAGTACTGGCATATTTAGGCAGAAAGAATGGTAAATGAAGGGCGCCTGGGTACCCAGTAAGTTAAGCGTCGGAGTCTTGATCTCAGCTCAGATCTTGATTTCAGGGTTGTGAGCTCAAGCCCTGTGTTGGGCTCCACCTGGATGTGGAGCTTACCTAAAGAAAAAAAAAAAAAACAAAAAAAGAATGGTAAGTGAGAAAGATAATAACTTACATGTATAAATGCTTTTAACATTCATAAAGCCCTTTTGTACATGATTTAATCTGATGCATCCTTGAGAGAGAAGCTCAGCCCAAGGTCCTTGCTCAAGTTCATGGGGCTAAGATTGGCTGCTTAGAACTCAGATGTCCTTGCTCCTGTTAGGCTTCGAGCCCTCTCTGATTTCAACAAGCAGGTTTTGATGAAACCCAGTCCTTCCTCATATACTCAACCCTGTCTATTGTGGAAGAAATTTCAATGAGGAAGAAAAGGCCACATTTCTCTTTGAAAATGACAGAAAGATACACTTGAAAACAAGAAACTAAAATTCTAGTTTGACACGGGAAAGCCAAATGACGGTTTTTTGTTTTCCCTCTCTAAGCTAAAGGCTAACACTGGAGCGGCGCCTGGGTGGCTTAGTCGGTTAAGCTGCTGCCTTCGGCTCAGGTCATGATCCCAGGGTCCTGCGATTGAGCCCCACATTGGTCTCTGTGCTTAATGGGGAGTCTGGGTGTCCCTCTCCTTCTGCTCCTCCCCCCACTCATGCTCTCTGTCTCTCTCAAATAAATAAATAAAATCTTGAAAAAAAAAAAGACTAACATTGGTATATGTAAATATTAAACATCTAATATTTAAAGCATTTTCTTAAAAAAATTGGCCCTGAGTTGCTCAGATCAGATTATTCCTAATTATTATTATTCATCAGATTTTAAACATTTCTATTTTCCTATTTCTTACTCACGACACATTATTATCTTGGTAACATTTTCTATGAAACTCCAAATACCAATAAACTTTTCCATCTAAATTGTTCATCTCAAGGATTGGCAAACCATAGCCTGTGGCCTGTTTTTGTACAGCTTGAGAGCTAGGAATGGTCATTACATTTATAAGGATTGTAATAAAAACCAAGAAGATGCGACAGAGACAGTAGGTGGCTTGTAAAACATATATTTACAGGAAAAGATTGCTGAGCCCTGGTCAATATTTATATATATTATATACATATGTAAAATCCTTGAACCAGAGCATTTATATCTAGCTAGCTATCCCCTCCCTCATCCCGCAAAGGGTTTTATCAAAGCAGATAATCACAAAGCCTCTCTCACTCTCCTGCAAAATAGGCTCCTTCAGCCGTACGGTCCTGGTATCCACGGCTTAAAGGCTGATGGAGAGAACACAGAATTGAACCCTCTGCTGCGTTCAGTGACAGTGGAGACATGAGCGGTACAGAGGATGAAGAGCAACCCCAGCTAAGAAAGGTGGTTTACAATCTGTATGGAACTTCACATTTTCCAAGTGTAGTTTAATTCCCTTTTATCAATTTTCCCGTAACTCCTTGATGGTCTGTGTTAACTATAGAAAAATCAATGAAATAAAAAAGGTTAAGTAGATGCTAAGCTGTGATGTCAGGCTGAAGCTTGTTTCCTGGTGCTATATTGATAGAGATTTTATTTTATTTTTTTTTTAAAGATTTTATTTATTTATTTGAGAGAGACATAGCGAGAGCAGGAACACAAGCAGGGGGAGTGGGAGAGGGAGAAGCAGGCTTCCCGCAGAGCAGGGAGCCCGATGTGGGGCTCGATCCCAGGACCCTGGGATCATGACCTGAGCCGAAGGCAGACGCTTAACGACTGAGCCCCCCAGGCGCCCCTATTGATAGAGATTTTAAATGTTCCTGCTTTCACCTAGAGGTGATGGCTTTGTGTTCTAACAGTGCTGTCATGCATGACGCCTTCCTCTGAGATCTAAAGTGGTCTTCGAGCTCTCAGGGACCTTCCGTTAAAGCGGAGATCCAAAGACTGGAAGAGAGGTCAGGACTGGGGAGAGGGCAAACTTTGCCAGGGATCTGGGGCTCCTACATTCCCTTTGCCCAAAGACCCACACAAAGTATGGTTGATTCGAAGGGGGGGTGGTGGGGGAAAGTGGGGGGGAAAGAGCGAGGCAGCCGGGCTCATGGGAATAAAAACACCAGAGGCGTGGCGCCTGGACATCAGTACTCAGGATGCTTATTAGCCAAATGGGCAGATCCTCCTCCCCCTCCCCCCCCCAAACCCTCCCCAAAGACAACTGCAGGCCTTTACTCCCCTGGCCCCCAGGGTAGGCGTGGCTTAGGCGGCATATGGGACAGTGTGTGGTCTGCCACTTTGATGTGTCTCCTCCCCACCCCCTTAATTATTAGACCGCTGGCTGGCTGCAAACAAGTCTTTATTTGCCAGGAGGGAAAAAGGAAAATGTCAAAGTGTGAGAAGCAGATCAATTACTCACCTCAAGCTAATTCTTTTAACGAGGGAGGTGAGGAGCCCCACTGTTTCTGAAAGAATTCCAGGGATCAAGAGAAAGAAGCTTGCTCTGTGGGTCCCCTGTATTAGTTTTTTGGGGCTACCTTAAGAAATCATCACAAAAGGGCCAGCTTAGAGAACAGAGATTGATGGCCTCACAGTTAGGGAGGCTAGAAGGTGGAGATCAAGATGTGGGCGGTTCCTTCTGAGGGCTGTGAGGGAGCGTCTGTTCCAGGCCTCTCTCCTTGGCTTGAATGTGGCTGCCTCCTCTCTGAGTCTCTTCACTTAGTCTTCCCTCTATGTACGTCTGTCTCTAAGCTTCCCCTCTTGTGAGGACACCAGTTATATTGGATTAGAGCCCACTCTCATGACCTCATTTTACCTTGATTACCTCCGGAAAGGCCCGGACTCTG